CACGTGTGCACTCTGTGTGGGTCTGGTATTCAACAACTCCAATGGCTCCAGCAGTGCTAGTTCAACGAGGCCCAGGGACACTTGAACAACACATGGCACAAAAATCCTACAAAAGTACTTTGTTTCGAACTATATAAGTACAAAGAGGTCATGCTGGATTCTTTGTCTGCTAACTGTTTGGCATCAAGAAAAAACTCCGCCACCACCCAGGAGAGGATACCTCTACTGCGATCCCAGCAAAAAAGTACTGTACCACTATGGGACAGCTCCGAAAAGCCCGTGTACAGCGATACACGCATCGCCGTCTTCAAGCGCAGCGGTGCAGCCCGCCGTCAAGCATTCACACCAGAGTTCCAGTTCTCCAATAGAACAGCGCCACACAAACAGTCCGAAGAGGTTCTGCGCACTAAATCTCATGGCACACTCAGAAGGAATCTTGCCCAACGGCACGCCACATAGAAAGCGGCGCTGTTAAAGACAACCAAAGCGCTCTGAATACAATTTCTTCCCAAAGCGGGGAACAAAGTTAGCAGAAGCTACTCTTTGAGCCTTTGCACTCTTGAAACGTGCCACTGTTCAGCGGAGGCCAAGTCAAAGCCGCACGAAATGACTTTCAGCGAAAAAATGTGTCAAACTACAGTAAGCGCCGCAGAGCTGTGGAGCCACAAAGGGTCGGGTTGCACTAAAGTTCCACGGAAACAGCGCCACTTCCGAGGTCCCCCGTGCACAGGCGACGCCCAAACGTCGCTGTCTCTTCCAACGTCGCTGTCCAACTTGAAAGACTCTCGAGCAGGAATGCGCCGGTCCCTCAAGCCACCCCGCCACGGCAAGTACCGTGAAACAGCACCAGGGACAATGGCCATACGACTGGACTATATAACTTGACTTGTCTTGACACGCAATGACTTAGCTCGCTGATGTCTGCTGGGAGTTGGGACAAGGGTGTTTGGGAAGAAATCGGGGTTGCCCAGCCTGGTAGCATTCATGGTCCATAAGCTGAATGATTGCCACCGTGTCAGGGTGCTGCTGAACCTTGGATTAGTCAAAAGCCATCCTAACTGCATCTCCATGCATCTAAAGCACTCTTATGCTCCAACAAATGCCCCTGCGGGGTATTATGTACCAGGACTAGGACAAATCATGTACGTGAATTCGCCCATTAGGTTGAGGTCCCCTCATGCACACGACAGACCAGTAGAAATAGTAGAACTTCAAACAACTCAAACCAAGCTGCATGGTCACAGCCGGTGCTGCCACTGATGAAGCCCCATCCTCTGTGTGGCATTCCTACCTGTGCAGCTGCTCATCACTCATCACTCTACGCTTGGTCGAGTGTGGAGCTGCTCACCACAAGAACCAACAAGTCGACATGCAGGGCAATACCCCTGGCCCGAAGCTACTAGTAGCTTCCCCAATGGATTTTCTCCGACCTCTGCAGCCTCGCAGTGACAAGTCTGAGTCGGAATGAAAAAGCTGTAGTAGGCCTTGGCACCCAACGTCCCTTGGAAACAATCAGGGCACCATTGAAAGTACATCAGTCTCATCCAATTTGGCTCTCCTGACCACTGGGTTGTTTTCCGCTAGGTTTAGGTTGGACCATCTCCCGACCATGGCTGCAGCTGAGAGTCTCCACCCGGCTGTTGAGCACACATCAGCTGGCATGACTTCGGGTTGTCTGCTGGTCGTGGAGCGAAGCCCATCATGTCCAGTGGCAAGTAGCTCACTCCGTGTTCCAGACCTCAAACAGCCAGGACAGGAGCCAAGTCTTTCACAATTCGAACACTTCTTGACGTGATTGAGGGGCATCAATGAGTTTGCGCAAAATCATGCTTGGACTTGGTGACAACATTGAAGACCAATCTCAACCACACAATCCGTGGCAAACCTGCGTCCTGGCTGCAAACCTGGCGTGTCAACTTCTTCACGGCTGGTACCCGCTGCTTTTGCGGCTCCGGAGCCGTGTGGACACTTGGGGCAGGTCGCTTCACGGCCTGGATCTGCGGGGACGTTTTACAACCCACCACCATGCTACTAGCGATGGCCTCCAACCTACTAACAATGGCCTCCCTCCCCCAAAAAGAGAAACGAAGCGAAGTGCGCCTTCAGCAGTTCCGGATCATCTGCCTGTCGGCAGCGCTTGCGAGATTAAACCAAATGGTACAACCGAATCAAACGCGCAAAGCATTTGGCGTGAAACGATATGCTGAAGGCAAGCAATGGACACAAAACTCCCAGCGCATTTTCCAACATGCTGGGAGGAAGAAAAGGGCAGACTCAAAAACGACTTGAGGCCAGGGGGAGGGATTCGAAAGCCAGCTGGGGGGAGGGAGGGATTCGAAAGCCAGCTAGCCGCCGCTAGCCAAAGCGATAAGAGGCAAGCACAACAGCAGCACACCAGCAACACACCAGCACACCAGCAGCAGCCCAGCAGCAGCGCAGCAGCAGCCCATGCGCACACCAACAGCAGATCAGCAGCAACGCCTGCTTCGAGAAAACAAGCAAAACTATAGCACACCACCAATCCAACACAGTGGGATTTTCGTACATCGATGCGTTGAAGGTGTCCGAATAACCTTCTCAAGCCACGGAATACTCTTTCATGTTTCTTGGCATGACGTTGGGCTAAGGATGACATCTGCATCATCTGAAGTCAAGTAGCTTTCACAACAGGACCTCCCATGTGTCCCCTCTGGGAGTTGAACCCCTAGGGGCGTCAAGGGATGGCGCCTCACTTGCGCACACAAGATTTAACTCACCTGCGCACAAAGCCTTGCTTTATACATTTAACTCACCTGCGCACACAGGGTTCGCTCAGCTGCGCACACATCAATTACATTCTTCTTTAAACAGTGCATGTTACCTCCAACTCATCTGCGCACACAGACTTCGCTCACCTGAGTCATGATGATCTCTTTTTGCTCATTGCTTCCACAGTACCACGTCACACAGATGCTCTGCGTTTGATTGATGATATTGGGTTGGGATGGGGGGGGTGGGGGGGTGTTAATAACGTCCCTCTGGACATTCATCCACTCATTCATTCATTCATTCGTTCGTTCGTTCATTCATTCAGCCGAGCAAGCGGCGTGCACAGCCGAGGAGCGCGTGCACAACCGAGTAAATCTATGCGCGTGTACAGGCGAGGAAAATTCCGCGTGCACAGCCGAGGCTCCCCGCGTCAAGGGGGTGGGGGAGGCCTTAGACTTAGCATGATATAGCCCCGGGGGCCTCCAGAAAGCGTAAGCTTTAGAGCACAAAACTCATCCCAATACAATTGCTAAAGCAAAGAAGAACTCAGCTAGCACGCCAGCTTTCTTGATTTGCCTCGTGCTCTCCACACGGACGTTGACATGCACGATCTCCACGTTGCCAAAGCGCCTTTGCAATCGCCTCGGAGCTGCTTCGCGCCTCAGGTCTGGGACTGGTAGTTCAAGGAACCACGACAGTGGCAAGCGAAAATATCAGGCCCTAGACCAAATCCCAAACACCTGATCACCTTCCAGTTAGAGACCCCCTGCCAGCCGCCAGCACAGCTCTAACAAAAAGTGTCTCACTTGGCATGCAGCAGGGACTGTGCAGTAGGCCAAAGCACTGTGAGCTCCGGGTACCATGAATGGTGTTGCAGCAGCTCCACCTGGATCATAAGTCTCATAAGTTGCTTCAACCAAAAAATATCAAATCAAAACGTCCATGGAAAGCGCAACACCGCAGATCGGCCTGCCGCAGCCACTCCACCCGAGTCTGGCAGGCAAACTGCGCTGATAGCCGCAGGCATCCTGCCTCCTCAGGTTTAAACACTGCCTCTCAAGCATCCCCTCTCACATCCCTGTGGGAGTTTCCACGAGGACTAGCTCAGAAACTTGCTATGATGCATTTGCCAGACCAAGTTGCAGAGCAAGGTCGGGTGCAAGCATTGCCAGGCAGTAGGTGAAGCAAAGCCTGAAGTTGGTGGAGAATGCCTGCCACCCTCTTACTTTAACTACACGATGGGATCCGGAAAGCTAAATTGATAGAATTTCTTCCAAAAGCAGTCCGCATTGGACTAGCAGTAGCGGCATGCCAAGACAACTCTACTGTATTGCAAATTGCAACCACACCAGCATAGACAGAAGGAGAGCATGTTGAATCGCGTGATTCCAGAGGGTTCCAGGGAAGCGTTGCGATCACAAAAAATCTGGTTCCAGGTCCAGTGTTCCAGGGTGCTCTTCTGAAGCCAAGTTTTCCAGAGTTCCGGACAAAAAGTTGCGATGAATGCATAGCTCTAAGAGAAGCAAGCTGACGTAATATACATATAGCTTCATATATAAAATCAGGTGAGAGGACTTATTAAACATCTGCTCGTCATTCCGTTTGCACTGCCTGAAAATCACCGAAGCTGGATCCGGTAGTCAGGCCAGGATACCTGGAGCACTCAAGCCATTGAAACCCACATCTCGACCACCCTACTAGTAGCGTCCTTGCTCCTAGTAGCGATGCCAGGAGCCCCTAGTAGCGTCCTTGTTCTTAGTAGTAAGGCCAGGAGCTACTAGTAGCTTCTTGATCCTGGTAGCTTCTTGTTACTAGTAGTATGGCCAGGAGCTACTACACAAAGCAACTCACAAAGGCAAAGCTCCATTTTCTGCAAAAACTCGGCGGGTTTGCAATTGGATGCGGGACTGCGTGTGAGATGTGCGTCTGCAGGGCCCGAGTCGGAACTCGGAAGCGAAGGCTCAACCGAGTCCCTGCAAAACCTGGAGCAACCTGCAAGGTAAAGCCATCAGGCACACCCTAAGCTGTGTTGTCGGGAAACACTTTTCCCGGCGCGGGCTCCGAACCACCGGTTGGATGTTGCAATTGTGCATCCTGCCCACACGAGCACAACCACCGCCTAAACACACAACAATCACAACCTTGAGCCCTGCGCCAAACAACTTTAAAGAACAAAAGTGGTTCCTGCTGTGAGCAGAGCCACGAGGCATCTCGCTCGTTTTGAGGGAAAAAATCCATCAGCTCATCACATTTCATGCCAGGGTCCGCATTGGGTCAGGAGTCTTCCTTTGTTGGATGCCATGCACAAATTGACACAGACCCACCAACGGAATCCAAAGCAAATCAAGCAGTGCAAAACACGGCTTTCGAGAGGCTTGGGGGCAAAGTGGCTTCAACACATGTGTTGACTAATTTGAAGTCAGTGTCTGATTGTTGAACTTGTACAAGGAGCTCAGAGTCTTCCATCCCAACTTCAAATCACCCATAGGGTCATTGCCCTGAACGGTCTTGTACAGGTAAGAGTCAAATGTCACCTTCACGACAACATCTCAGGACGTGTCTAGGCTTGATTCAAGGACAACCTGCACTGCACAGGACATGGCCTTCTGCACGTACTCCTCCTCGCAAAGCTCGACAAAACTCTCTCTGGCAGCATCACTGGTGTAAAAAACCTTCTGCAGCAAGTCAAGCACCAAATACCTCAAGGCTCCGAGGGGCAAATAGCATTTGCAAGAAGCGGTCTAGGGAGGTTAATGAAAATCAGCCACGGTAAAGTGTTTGTAGGTCAGATCATTAATGGTAGATAAGGAGTGATGAAACATGATGTGAGTAGCACTACATCAACACAAATCCGTCAACACAAATCAGCCAGGTGGCGTTGGGCCGTACTTGGAGTCCCACTCCCTGATGTGCTCCATGAGGTCTGCCTAGTCCGAGCTTCAGTCAAGTCTTTGTGTATGATCTGGTGAACCGTGATTTTTGGTCATTTGGCCTTTGCCTTCACAACATGCTCTATGCCTAAATGTTGTCTTTTCATGCCTCTTCAAGGCCCATCTTGGCATCGACATGCACAGACAATTCAATTTACCTATGCACTGCCTCATCGATCATGCGAACACCATTCTGGGAGTTCTTCGCAATCGTCTCAGCACACCTCTGAAGGAATCAGAAGCATCACATTTCTATTGCTGCAACGATCGAATTTGCCCTCCCTTTGTCTCTCTCCGTAGCACCAGCGGCTCTGGGACCACCACATGCGGCCACTCTTGGCAGCAAAGTAGATGCCCTCGCCAGAGCACTTCGTGACGTAGCCAGCTGCATCACCCACCAAGATGGCACGGTCCTGGCACAAGGGGTGGCAAACAAGCGCAAACTGGGAACAAACGGGTAGCCAACCGGACAACCAGAATAGAGCTCAAAGCAGCAGCAAGCATAATACAACACCAGCTCCTTCACACGCCAAGGTCGTGGGTGTTCAGGGATAGGGTGAGCTTCCACACGGATGATGTTCCCACCGTCAATGCGCACAGCAGCCCGATCGCGAATGCCTTGCTGATATTTCTTGATGCCTTTCTTGTCCACAACCGTTCCAGTGCCGACTGCAACGTGGTCGCATTTAGGGAAGACCCAAGCATAGAAGTCAGGAGAAACATCCTCACCGACGTACATCTCTGCCCTGTCCTTGTAGTAGTCCATTTTGTTCTCGGGGATTCGCATGCGCTCCTGAAATGCGATGGCATATTCGTAGTCACCAGCCTCGATGTCCTTTGCCACTCGGCTGTTTGCACCATCTGCACCCACCACAACATCGACTTCCAGAGTCTTCTTCTCGCCCTTTCGTGCAGTGCCTTCTTCACCATCGTAGTCATTGTAAGTCAACACGTATGGCTCGCCCTTGGACTGTGGCATGGTCATTCCGACGAAAAGGCCGTTGATCAAGGTGGCCCCATTGCTCTTAGCCCGCTGGCGGAGGAAATCATCAAGAACCTCGCGGCGCACCATACCGATGAACTCGTCGTCTTTCAGAGTTTGGCCGATTTGAACCTCCTTGTTGGTAGGAGAGATCATAGTCATCTTTCGCACCTGCTCATCAGGAGTGCTAGGGAGCCATTCTCACAAAAACAAACCCGACTAAAGCCGACCACGAAAGGACCTTGCAGATAGAAATGCTTGCCATGTGTCCATGTGCCACCGGTGACATATGCGACCGATCAGTTCCTAGCCCTAATGAAAAGAAAGGGTTAGTTGCAGGACACGTGCCTGGCGATCAACGATGTCCCTCGGAAGGTCAAACTCGTCGATCATGCACAAAGGGATGGCGCCGCCACATGGCTTGCAGTTGTCGAGCTTGCGCTCGATCAAATAGGTCTCGATACCTGCCTGCAACTTGGTGCACAAGGCTGCAACATCTCTAGCAACACTATCAACCGTGTGTAGCTCAGGTTGCCACTGGTACCGCTGGGTCATATTCATGTCATTGATTTTGCCATTGCACATGCCCCTGCCTGGGCAAGCGAATCTGCAGTGGATGCTCCTGTCCAGGTGGCTGAATGAACTCTATGGAAGCAACATGTCACGGCAATATGTTGAGAAACCTCGAAAAGTATGTCAAAATTATCACCTTTACTCTACAACGACTTGCGCCACAACTCCCCGTTACAAGTTATGAGCTCCTGCTGGTCCACCTCCAACCACTGCCACTCGCAGCTTGCGACCCTCCAAAGGAGCATTGGCACAAACTACAACACGAGCGGATGACAGGGAGCGGTTGGTGGCACCGGGCCTGCAGCTAGCGGGAATCTGTCCATCAAATGAACAACAAAAGCTGAATTCCAATCATTCCGTTCATCTTGCTGCTCAACATCTGCCTCACAGAAGCCTTTTGACCCTTGGCCAGCGCATGGCCCCTGCGCGTCTTTGCTACTCCAGCCGCGGCCAAACCGGCAACAGCACCAACGGCCACTGCAGGACCAGCACGGAAGCCGCTCGCAGAGGAGGATGGGGCACTGGCACCGCTGGCCTCTGGCTAGGAGCAACAAATCCCACAAGGATGGTAGCAGTATTCTAATTGAATCGAGATTTGACCATCTGAAGCTCTTGCCGATACTGGGACCTACAAGTTTTTCTGGACCTTTTGCATGGTATCTTTCGCTATCAATCATGCAAGGAAGGTCTATGGCAAAGGCCTCTGTCTGAATGCCACGCAGTGAGCGGGGCTCTGCTGGGATGACAAAGGCATGAGCGGAACTCAAAGCCTCAGAGTGAGACAGTACAGAACAGTTGCCCATCTTGACTGACGGTGTCCAACTCATCATTTCAGCTTCACAACTTGCAAGGGTGCACGACTTGGGGCTGGACTGCGGCAGAGACTGCGAGTCCCATGTTGGTAAGGCTTGGCATGATTGGCAAGGACGAACACAAAAACACTACCCGCAAAAACCCGCTATAGGCTGAACCGAAAGGCCAAAAGGCATGCGGTCACCAAATGCTTTTTGAAATGGTTGTCTTTGTGCCGTTTCTGGTTGCTTATAATACAGCACCATTGGACCATCATCAAAATGCAATTGCTGGAGGCACCACTTGGGATGCTGATAAATACCATGGCTCATCGCATACAACCTGAATGGCTGGGTGGGAATACTGTGCCAAGGCAATGTGTTCCTGCTACAAGATGCAAACGAACAACTTCCCACACATGAGTTTGATCCAAGCAACACGTGATTAAAGCATTCAGTGCCAGCTTCCGCGTTTTGGCAATGCTTGTCTTCACGCTGGGCCTTTTGCAAAGCCAACCTAAAAGCAAGTGCATAATGCTTTCATCTGGCCATCTTTTGTGCTCTTATTATATATGTATATACCTGATGTTTCTGCTGCCAGCATCCTGTCAACCGAAGAACTGGGCTTCTCGTTTAAGATCAACCTTGACCTGCTTGTCCAGGCCACCAGGAACCTAGCGTGCCGTGTGGGCATTAGACAACACAAGACTGGTTTCAAAATTGGTATGCTGTGCATACATACTATGTACAGAAGCAGTATCAGTGTATCAATGAACTTCTGAAGCTTAGGCATATGCAGTGATCAACAGCCGACATGCAGTTACTCTACACCGTCGGCTGTTGATCACTGCATATGCTCCAATTCTCAACTTTGTTGCAGGATCAATCCCCTTTGATGGGGACACTTGTAGATTTTATCCTTCATTGAAAGAGCCGATAGGTTCAATAGGGAAGAAAAACCTTGCAGAGGGAAGACTTGTTAGAGTGGAGAAGGCTGTTTTGAGAACAAACCTGAATAAAGGAGGCTATCACAACCAACCCTCACACTCCGAACAAAAACTCATGAATCATGAGAGACAAAAGGTTTCTTTGCAAAGAACGGCATTTGTAAGGACCAAGTGTGGCTAATGGGACCCTGGACATGGAGGACATGGTCTTGACGCTTTAATGCTAAAAGAGAACTGTGTGTCAAAAGAACATCTCAATGAAAGAGTTTGGGAAAGGACTGAACTATATCAGTGCAAACATAGGACTACTGAGAGGACGGTATGGCGATTAAAGTGCGTCTTTGGATAGGGTAGCCTTTGTGGAGAGTTTATTTCATGGAGCACAAAAGGCCTTGTAACTGCCAGGTGCTTTCAAAAACACAGTTCAAGTGTGTGCAAAGGTGACAGGTGTACCACTATCATCTACAAATGCACATGCATTCCTCACATACAAGCAAGACCCCAAACAAGTAATTCGGTAAATCTAGGAAAAAGGAAATCTCCACTCTGCAGTGGCAGTTGGGCTGCGGATTCTAAGAGAATCCATTATGCAAAGAGAGGGCTATATCTGTCTGCTTCAGGAAAATCGCCAAGACGACAAAGCAACGTGACTGCCAAGGGTGGTTGAATATCTGCAGTACAAACATCGCTCTCCGTAACCATCATTGGTCTCCTACCTCTGTAGCCCAAATCTCGCCTGCAAGAATCTTGAACTAGCTAGCCCGCTGCCCGGCCTCTGTACCGTTGTTGACGACGCCCGCCAGCTCTGCCTCACAGGCGAGCCTTGCTAGTCACTAGTCACCTGCATCAAAAAATACATGCCGATGCGTCGCCCTATCTTTTGATACCTTCCATTTGCGAAGGCCATGATGAATCTTGAAACTTGACCAGCTGCACGTCTGTAACAACTTGTCACTGATATGCATGTTCTTGAAGCCACAACAGGTTTCCATTACTGCCAAGAACTTTGGCGTCTAGATTATCTGCAGGAAAAAAAATATTTTGCAACCTGACAAGTCCCAACCGTGCCTGCTCCATGGCTAGAATGTCCCTGTCCTCGGGTCCTGACCACAATCAGTGCAACCTGTGGGCTGCTCTCCACTCTAAGAGCGACGCCTCCACTGTCAACTGATCTATATCGCTCTTTTCAACCAAGTCTGCTTGACTCAAAGCTACCTGAAGGACCGACACTCCACTCGCATCCGCGCCAAGTCGTTTCAGCCCAGTCCGCATTGTTCATCAGAACCATCCGAGCAGTCAATGTGACCATCGCAACGGCTGGACGCCTTGACACATTGACCACCGGAAGCCTCAGAGACGTCTGAGGCGTGTCACGACGAAGCACCAATGTGCAACAAGTCGGGGTTGTTGACCCGCAGTGTTTTCTCAGCATATAGATTTTATATTATGCATGTGGAAATGTGTCCAACTACATGTGGCAATGCAGCATGCAGCATGTATGCATTAATGTGTGCTAGGGTCTTTATTTGTTTGCACATGTCTTTCCACATTTGATATCCGTGAGCGACTGTAGATGTGAATAAGCACATTTATGTCAGTGCAGGTCTTTGCGTGCGCGCGTTGCATGTCCTATGATAAACGTGCCTAGGCCGCGGGATGTATTGAATGTTCAACAAACCTTCGACAAAACAAAAGTTTTGGAGTCAACAACATCACTGGAAACACAACAAACAGGGTTGCCACTGTCAGTGTTTAACAATACAGCAAAGCAACGCAATGAAATTCAAACTGTCTTCGATGTTCCTGACAGGTGATCTAGTTTCACCCACTTGGATTGGTAGGTTTGTATCTCTTCCATTACCGGATGCCCATGAACTCAAAAAAATTGTCCTGACAAGCGTGCTCAGCAACGGCAGATAGAATGGTGCCTGCCATTGGAAAGGGCTGCTAGTAACGGCAGCTGAACCACTGAACCAAACTCATCCGAAAAGATCTCCCTCTCCCTTTTGCTCTCGCTCTCGCTATCTCTATCCCTATCTCTATTTCAGTCTCTATCTGTCTCCATCCATCTATCTATATCTATCTTTCTCTATCCCTACCCATCTATCTATCTATCTACCAATCTATCTATCTCTCTCTATCTCTCTCTTTATCTATCTATCTATGTATCTATCTATCTCTATCTGTCTATCTATCTATCTATCTATCTATCTCCTCTCTCTCTATCTCTCTATCTATCTATCTATCTATCTATCTATCTATCTATCTGCCTGCTGCAGCTCGAACGGCTGTCCTGGCCACGTCACACGCCTCCCATGATACACTGGGGGCAAAGCACAGGGGTGTCCCAGCACCCGGCGAGCCGCTGGGGTTTGGCAGCGCTGGCATTGCTTTTTTGCTTCTGGTCTTCACGGAGCTGTTCAGCTGCGCCCGGTCCCAATTCTGGGCATTCCATCGTGCCGCTCAGATCGTTCAACACAGTTTTTGATGGAGTGGAAGGGGAGGCATGGGGCTTCCAAAACACACTCTTCATACAACTCCAAACAGAGCTTTCGTAGATTGAATAGGAAATTAGCCTTGCATGGTTTTGCTACATATAGAGGAAGGATTTGGTATGAGACACCGTCTTTACCAAGCGCCACACCTTCCACCAGGGAAGCTTCGACGCACCAACCTCGACGCTCTAGACCTCATGCCACCTTCATGAGCTGGAACTGCGTGGCACTGTCCTCCCATGACTACACGGAACTGACGCAGTGGATTGCATTGCAACAGCTGGACATTGTCTTGCTCCAGTCCACAACATGACGATCAATGAGCCTCGGCAGAAACGGCATTCCCTGCTGCAGAAGCTGAACCCCTGAACGGGGGCCTCATCACCCTCATCCGGAATGGTTTTTGTGCAGCTGACAACATCAGCATGAGAGATGTGATCCCGGGACGACTCCAACAGATTCGCTGTTACACATAAAGGCTTTCCCATTTTCCACTGCTCGCTCACCGGACCATCGACCTCTTCCCTCTGGGCTGGAAGGTGTGGTTGAAACATCAGATCAGTCGTGAGCAGAAGATCCCAACCACGATGCATCGACAACTCTTGCAGGATCAACGAGACTCACACCCTAGATGACCACGCTGCTTGAGAAGGCTGGACAAAGCATTCAGACACTTCGTACGCGGTCAGCAGAACAGTTGAACCGGACTCTCATGAAAGTCATTCAACAACGTACCAACACAATCATACAGAACATATGCCGTTGTGGGTTGGTCAACGAATCAACAATCAAGATCCATTGTTTCGAGGAAGTGGAAACATCTTTTCTGGGCGAGGAACCCCACGTCATCAACTCCTGGATCCAGGCCATCTTGCATTGCTGGAGACACATGAGAGCAGGCCCATGGCATTTCGTAAACAGCTCAAACAGGTGTGCCAAGAACAACGAACGCAAAGGATTGCAGATGCCACCAACCAGGCCTCCAGAGCGGCAACAGCTCACGATTCGAGGAGTCTCTACGAGGCCGTCAGAAGGCTCACGCCCAAGCAGGCGAGGAAAGCTATCCGTTTCAGAGACACTCACGGTCATCTCATGCTGAACTGGACACCCTCAAGGTGCACTTTGGTAGGCCGTTTCAAGCTGATCCACCGGCGCCCAAGGTGATCAATTGCACACCATTGATCCTAACTGTGGATGAGATTGAACCTCAGCTACAGAAGACAAGGGTACACAAAGCTGTTGCTCCAGGTACACCTCCAGCTGCAGTGATTCGTGCACTTGCGCCACAACTTGCGGCCTGGGCGCAACACTTCATCCTGACCAGCGGTGTGCTCAGCTAGTGTTGGAAGGATGCCAAACTGGCCCTCCTGGCGAAGAGGACAGTACAGTCACCATTGGACCTTCGACCAATTGCACTTACAGATGCCACTGGTAAAGCAGTATTGGGTGCATACATGCAGCGCGCCATACGCTGACCTCCCTACCTCTGTTTGCCTATCGCCCTCGAAGAGGCGTTGCTGAAGCGCTCGTGCACAGCAACCAAAGCATCTTCAGTGCTACACGGGTGTGAGGAGTGGTAAAAGAGCGTGGTGTGAAATATTGGCCCCGCGCCTTTTTTCTACCTCTGCAATGAAATCCGTGATCATTGCGCAGCCCTTGCCCCAGGTGCATCCAATCAGAACCACAACCTCCATGGTCGTGAACTCAATGGCGGTATGATCTTGTCAATGAACCTCAAGCAAGCTTATGACCGCACTTGTTGGGCACTTAGGGGCCCAGATTTCGTTTGGCGCGTTTGAGACCCAAACGCTCAGACACAGATTGAGGATTGGGACCACTGCATAGAAAAGACTGAGACCTTGGTTCACTGGACAACATGCACTCCCCACAAGAGTCAGAGCACAACTTTGGGTTGCTAGCATTCGTGCTAGTTACTGCCATGGATTGGCATGTTCAGTGCTCAGACAGGACGGAATCATCATCTACACCCAATTGGCAGCACTGCATCTTGCAGCCGACCACAACAGCTCCGCCACTCACAAAGGAAAAGGGCCAATGCGACGCTGACTACTTTTGGACCCAGCCTGAATGGTGCGCCTGGCTCAGTGCCCACTGCAGCGTGTGTGAAGCGCAATGCACACTTGATGACCTCCCCAATCATTTGGCGGCACAGCACTCTGAAGTCCTCCAGAAGGGACAGGAAGAGGTGCACCTATGTTCAAGACCGATGCTTGACTGCTGTCATTTCTGCCGGATAGTTGATTTGTGCCCTGTTGCCCTCAACATCTCGCGCTGGCTGATCCATCACGTCGAAAATGGAGCTGGACGACGAAGCCCTGATGCAGCTGCGCGAGACCTTCGGAAGTCTGATTGCCAGCCCAAGGAACCGGCAACCAGAGGAGGACTCTGGCAATTGAAACGCTCAAGAAGACCAAGGAATGGAAAAAGGCGGCAGAGCAATGGGAAGCTCCAATGGCTCTCAGGACACTCCTGTTCAGCACGCTGGCCATGACACTACAAGAGAGGGTGACCAGGCTATCCACACCCAATGATACGAGCGAGATCTGGAAGGAGGCAATGGACCACCAGGTGATCGACAATCAGGGCTCATGGCCGTTCCTGGAGTTGTTGTTCCAAACAGCTGAAGATCCTTGACAAGGCACCCATCAAGATGCCACAGATGCTGAAGCACATCGAGGAGCTGGTGGAACTGGCCACTTCCACGGAACATGTGCTGAGGTTCAAATGTCTGAAGCCCCAGGAGATGGAGAGTGGAAAAGCAAAAGTCAGCCCTTGGCTGTTACAACTCTCAGAGAGGAGAGGCTGCATGGCCTATTGACAACCTTGACCAACAACGCCGTCTGGGTCCTCATACAAACCATGACAGCACATTCTGCACAAACACCTGGGGTTGCCATGCCATGGATGTGGGGCAAAGAGCTTGTTGCATGAGCGCCCCCTCAAGCTAGTCCACAAATGTCATGTGGCCTTGAACCTGTGCCTTGGCTTGGAGCACCGTCGACGTGAACTGGCACCCAGAAGCACGATCTTCCAGGCACCTCGGCATGCAGCAAATGAGCAGCAGTCCGCCTGATCTTGCATTATTCCTGCAGCGCTTCGATGCACTACTTGGCACTCACTAGCCTCCACGGCCACACTATGAGCTTAGCCCAGCTGCGCCGAGCCGCTGTGACTGAGGGATTCCAAATTGACTTGAGTCACAACTCGTGGTTGCATGATGTAGCAGGGCCTGTTGGAACACATGCTGTGCCTTTCTGTTGAATGCCCAAGCTGACTAGTGCACAAACCTGTGAAGCCTTGGCCTCGGTTGGCCTGTCGGATTTGAATATTCCCTTCCATGTGCAGTCATGCCACGTAGCAATGTAAGTTTCTCCTTTTGTGTGCAGCACAGTTGCCACAATGGCTTTTGACACCGCTGCCATCAATTTCAACTGGCCTGTCGGCCCTACTTCCTCTTTGGCCTGCTGGCCTGGCTCAAGCATCTTGAGGGTGCCGAGACAATGTCTCGATGCCCACATAGTTTCCGACTCGTCGGAGAATGCAAACTGCAAAAACTATCTATCTATCTATCTATCTAATCTATATCTCTCTCTCTCTCTCTCGCAGGCATCGCCTGAAAACCAGGCTTGCCACCATCCCATGGCTCGGGGCCCCATATCAGCAGTTTCTCGTCTCAGGCTCAACAAACCTATCATTGTGAGATGCGAGGTTGACAGTTCAAAAGCGTTTCCACTCCTAATGCATTGTTGGAAGAAATCCAACCTTTGAACCAACATGGAACTCAGCTGGGCTCAAAACACTGCTGCACATGGACAACTGATTTCTTCGCCTTTGCCCTGCGCAGCACCAGAGATGATGCCCGGCAGGTCCAACAGCTGAATTTTGCAGTCGTTGTAGTTGATGACACCTGTGTGAAGCATCCCCCGACCAAGTGTTCAAACAACATGAGCCATCCATATATTTGGCAAGGGGCTTTGTCTTTGGTAGGTTTCGCTGCTTTAAACACGCATGACCCTTTCCAATGTGCCATTGCGGGCGTACCAATATGGCAATAAGTCGGCATAGCACATGTGGCCACATATGCGCAACCACGACAACGCGACAACAAGAGAAAACATGAGAAGGCAACCAGCTCTGGAGCCCACATTGGGGCCGAGCATGCCAGCAAGTCAGCGCGGCAGCATGACCCGACTTCAGCCTTTCAGCGTGCCAATGCCAGCATGCTAGCTTGGCGCCAGCATTGCAACATGTCAGCATGACAAGCTGGCAACACGTCGGCATGAGGCCACGCCTCCAGAGGGAACTCCTCCGACACCTCCTCTAACCCCTCCTGGTCCCAAACATGCTCCACAACCTTCCCCGGAACTTGCTCCGAAACCTACTGCAGAACTTGCTCCAGAACTTGTTTTGGCACTTGTTCCAGAATCTGCTCTACCCGAACATGCTCTGGAACTGCTCCGGGACCTGCTCCGGAGCTTTCCCCGCAGCTTGCTCCAGAGTCTGCTCCAGAACTCTCTCCAGAATTTGTTCCAAAATCTCAATAGCCGCGCTTTTACTATGGATGAAGATCCCTGAGCTTCGCTGTTGAAGAAAATGCAAAATATGTTCCCAAACTGGAGGCCGGCCTGGAATACATGTCAACGTGGTGAACTCGTACGCAGCTACCTCCGACTGCACCCCGGTAAGGGCAGTCAGCAAAGAAGACTTCCCAACCTGTTCATAATCGCACAAGAATGCCAAGCCTACGAACTGCAAAAAAATGCACCGTGCGGAAAAACAAAGCCCAAACCACATGCGTGTCACCCAAAAAACGTTTCCATACGTTTCCTGAATTGTCATTGGTTTGTACAATGTGTCGGTCCCATGCTGCCAAAACCCAACAGTCTGGGGCATCGGCTGAGGGAAACCCAATGAGTGCTACTCTGGAATCTCCAAATCTTTGTACCTGGACATCAAGGTCACAAGAGCCAATTCTGTTGCACAAGCGTTCCCGTGCCTCGAACCCTTTGGATTTGCCTCCTCCTGATTTTTCAGGGCTGAATAATTCCTCAGTTGACATCCAACATGCTTCCTGCCCCAGCCTGGTGGTCCACTAGGAAAATATCAACAGCATCCACGGAAAGATTCAGCACAACATCATTTCTGGATCCGCATTGGTCAAAAACAACCCCACCACATGCATGGCATATTAGTATTGTATACTGGTTCGAATTGCCGGCCCCACCCACTTCTCACAACGAAATATCATTCAAGGAGCGCGTCTGGCGGCACAAAGTTTTGCCTTGAGGTCGCCTAAATGCTTGGCTGTCGCTTTATTTTTTTGTGTCCTGCCGCGTCCCCATCCAGCAATGCGGAATCTGAATATCTCCCCATTTTGTTTCAGAGCACGTGTTCACTTCACCCTCAGAACAGGACCACAAGAAAAAAAGGATCACATACTAAAACTCGTTTAGGAAACTTCTGTTGAAAATGGGTTTATCCAGGCACGTTCACAACCCAGACTTACAAGTACATTTTCAGATTCCACCCAGCCGGGCCTGGAGATTTCCAGCTCTAACGTGGCAATCTTCTCAAGCAGTGGCGGCATCTTGCAAAATTGGCACTTGTTTATCTCTTGTTCATGTGGTTGTTCCCCTGAAGTCCGACATCGGTTTCGTAGAAGGAACAGGTATGAACACAAGGATGCCAAGGTTTTTGGGCAACGGTCTTGTCAACCTGGTGTGGTTTACTCGATTTTCCATTCGTTGCCCACACGACTGTAAGCCAAAACGGCAACTACATCATTGACATTTCAATCACGAACACACCGAGCAGCAAGTTCATAGAATTTTCCAAGTCCAAGATTAATACATTTGGAAGCGAATCCGGGATCCCGTTTTCGGATATCAACCATATATTTCGATACCTGCAGAACTGCCACAGGTTCAGTTGGGGGTATGCCCCGTAATGAAAATAGAGGGGATGGACGATGTAAACCGGCACAACGGCGTGAATTGCACCCGGCCCGCGAGCGCCACGAAAGGACTAATATGTTTGGCCGATTGATGTTTGTGATGGGAAGCTGGGGTTGGGTGCCACGACTCCGGTAGGCTCACAGCTTACGCAGCTTAGATCGATAGGCAGACGGTGTGTGGGATGCCAAAGAAAGCCAGGCAAAAAGGCCGGGTGGCTGGCCGTAAGGCAAAACAGTTGAACCAGCACCGCGTTTCAAGCGGGCCAGTGCATGCAACGAACGCACCGGAACAAATGTTGGTACTGTTGTTGCTTCAAATTTTCATGCGACAAAAGGAGGGGGGGAACGAACAGCGTGGATGCCATTCACGCGAGCGACCAAGAACACAAAAATAACGGCCAATTGCACCACGCACACACACACAAAAAAAATAGAAACAAATCAATCAGCACACCATTACCACAAGTCAGGACGGAGTGCAACCACACATGGTTGAACAACAAAGATTGCGCCTTCCTTGGAGTTGCAGCTATTTCGGCGAGCCAGGCGATGTGCGACAACACCGTCACAACGAAAAACGCTGAGTTTGCAAATTCGAACACTGCACCGTTCAGAAGTGAAAAAGTGGAGGTCCAATCGATTGACACGCTGTTTGCATAACATTTCGAGTTGGAAGGATTTGGGAAGACAAGTGTCGGCAACATTTGGACACCCAACTGTCCAACAACCTCCGCCCGACCAATTTGCTGACATGTTGGAATTGGTGTTTGTTGGTCCAGTAGAAGGCATGGAACCACCGGAGGTGCTCTCTGAGGAGGTGTTCACGCCAGAAGAATTGCATCGAGCGATTGGCAGGTTGAAAACGGATAAAGCACCCGATGAAGCAGGTCTAGCAGCAGAACTATGAAATACATTCCAACTGAATTTTCGCAAAGCGTGTTGCACTTGTGCAACCAGGTGCTCTACCACGGTATGGTGCCATTGTCGTGGAAAGACACTGTTTTCACCATGTTGCCGAAAAAAACCCGGGCAGTCCAGCCATCTGATTTTCGACCTGTCGCTAACACGAGGCTGTTTTACAAAGTCTTTGCTTATATGTTGTTAGGCAGGGTGGAGGACACACTGGAAATCCACCAGCCGGAAGCACAACATGGTTTCCGCCCCAACCGCCGTCTCGAAGAGCATTTGGTGACCGCCAATTTGTTCCTGGATAAGGCTTGGTCAGTTGGTATGACAGTATGGGTCGTCAGTTTGGATTTGTCGAAGGCACCGCGTACATTGGCCAGCTCTTTGGACCCCGTTGGAGCAGCAAGGGGTTTCGCAACATTTGACATGGACCTTGCACAATTTATATCGGCAACAGTTCGGTGAAGTAAAGGGTGAGGCAGGCCGAAGCCCGAAATTCCCGATCACGGCAGGTGTGCGACAAGGATGTGTTTTAAGCCAATGCAGTTTTACAGGAGGCTATGGAATCATGGCGTGATTCTGCGGGAAATCGTGGGTTCGATTTGGGAGATGGGATGGAATGCTTATTGGACCTCCGGTTTGCCGACGACATTTTGTTGCTTGCGGCTATAGAGGAAGAACTTACAACGCTTTTGGACGCTTTGGTGGAAGAATTGGCGGGCGTCGGACTACTTCTGAATCCTGCCAAAACCGTGGTGTTGACAAATCAAGCGCAATTTCACGCAGAAAGGTTTATCCTTTAAAATACTCCCACTTGAAGAGGGTCAACGCTGGCTCGGGTGCATGCTAACTGCCCAAGGTTCTGCCGGCCAGGATGCAGATCTTACATATCACTTACAGCAAGCGACGAAAACTTTTTGGGCCAACAAGCACTTTCTTGTCGATCATCAAGCTGGAGTTAGGAGCCGGTTGAAATATTTTGATGCGTGTGTTTCCTCGGCTGCTTGCTTTGCAGCGGGGCACAGAACAATTTACAAAAAACAACTGGAAAAAATTGACGTGACTGTTCGGAAGCTTTGCCGGAGCATTGTGCGTGCACCTTCACGGACCGATTGGTCAGCTGAATGGCATGACATTTTGCATTGTTGGAACGAACGTGTTCGTGTATTTGTTTCGGACGCCGGCATACCAACATCGGCAGCGACATGGTGCGCACAACATTGGAACCTTGCACGGCACATTGCTTCATTGCCTGCGAGCCGGTGGGTGCGAAGAATTTTGCGCTGGACTCTGGCTGGACCACGTCGGGGACGCCCAAGAAGCATGTGGACAACAAAATTGGAAGAATTCTGCCGGTACAAAAATTTGGGCAATTGGACCGCATTGGACACTGGACAATGGCAACGGCACAGGGACGACTTCACATTTTTCTGCTTATCTTAGCAACTTTTACGGTTTCACTTTGTCAAATGCGCAAGTGGGCCCGCCAACCGGCGTGCAGGCCAAAAGCAAAGCAAAACCGAGCGCGTAAACGGAGTTGGCGGCCGCATGCGGCGCCGCTGGTGGTGCCTCCTCAGCGGGCGGCCTTTCGCGGGAATAGCGGCGAAAAACAATAGAAATCACTGCAATCACTCTAACACTTTCAGTTTCCAAAACTGCCCCATCCTGTTCTTTCATGAGTCCATCACTTGCACCCACAGGGCTGGACATTAATGTGTTGAGATTGGCTACCTGCACGTGCAAAGGTCCCTACCTGCACCTGCAAAGGCCCCAACTCTTGGTGAAGCACCTAACTTCGCCCAAGCCGAGTCATGGGCGCGGGACGGTGTCGCCTTAGATGTGCTCAATGCAAAACTGCTATATTGGCCAGCCTCCAGGTGTGCACCGTCCAAGGGGTACGGGGTCCAGCGGGTAGGCAGTCAGCAGGTCGCCGGGGTGAGGTTCTGGGCCTTCGATGTTGGTGGAGGTAGATGTGGGGAGGTGAAGGAGGCTGGAAGCAAATGTTTGCATTGCGACCGCCCCACGTTCGCCACGTTGGCAGTAGTTGGTTTGAAAGGACGCGCGGATCTGGGGTGACATAGAACGACCTGTAATGAGGAGTGGGGCGCGGGGTGGTATAGAACAACCTCCAGACTGGGTGTGTGAGTGACTTTGGAAATTCTTTCTGTTCTTCAAAAACTGGTGGTGCGAGACTTGTTCCAAATCATTTCGGTCCTGCTAGTGTCATGGATGGTTGCTCTCTTTTCAGCTCATTTCACTTTACCTATTCGCTTGACTCAGTCATCGATTCAGTCCCGCAGGTACCACATTTTGAGATTTATTCAATGTACAGTCTTTGTATCTTTATACGCATTGCAAGTTACCTTGGTTCTTTTCTTTCAGCTTTCGTGCTCAAAGTGACCGCTTCCCGCCATCATCTTCGTCCTCCACCTGTGCCCATCATGGACGCCCAATGGCAGCAGTATTGCTGGAACCACTACCTGCTCCAACAGCAACAGCACCAGCTCGCTTCGGGCACTTCCGCAGGGCGACTTCTCTCTCAGTGAGGCTTGCGATGAAGACCGGCCAGCCGTCCCCAGCAGGGTCCCTATTTCTCCAATGCCAGTGCGTCACACTCGCAACTGGCGGAACTGAACTGGAGTAGTTTCCGGGAAAAAAACACCGAAAACCGCAGTGCGGTCTTCCCGCACTGTTCTGTTCGCCGTCTCTTTTTCCAAAGTGGCCACCACCAACTTCCCGGAGTCAAGTGAGTCGTTCTTGGACTATGGAAAGTGCTTGCTGGGTGGGTTCCTTCTGTTAAAGTTTCTGCTTGAAAAGGAAGGAAGCAACATTTGAAGGATCCAACGCCAGAGTTCCCAAACATGGGAAAGCCGCTGGATTGCGTGAACCATATTGAATGCCAGTTCTTCCAAATAACACAGGCTAGTTCGCACGTCGCGAAGTGCGCATCCCATGCGCTTCCTTCGGAGAAGGACGTGCCATCACCTCCATGCAGGAGCGCCCGAACGCCCCCGGCCTCCCAATTGGTGCTGCGCCAACCCCACGCCACTTGGAGGGCTTGACAAGTGACAATCCAAACGCCTATACAGGTTAGCATCCCCTGCTGGACTATATACCTTGGTGCCGCTTTCTCCTGAGGAGGGCGGGGGGTATGGTTCTGGGTCTGCACACCAGCTTCAAGTGTTTTATGCGAAAGCTGCAGGTGCGAGGGTGGAGAAAAGCCGCGTGCAACATCGTCCATCTGCGTATCATTTTGTTTCATATTCTCCAATTTTTGCGTATCATACAGTTTCATTTGCCACTACTTGCTGGGATCCTTACTGGTTGCCTTGGCACCCGCAAAACGTAGGGCGTCACTACTTATCCCCGAGGCCTCACCCAAAGTCGGGAGAAATTCCAGCAAGAGTATGGACTATAATGATTATAAACACAACTGCACGACGACCAAAACCTTCGAGCACCACCCAAATCCATCTCACAGAAAG